GATCCTACAAATTTCGCGAAGCCCGCCCACCTTGATTGGTAGAAGGTATCCAAAAAAAAAAAAACACCCAACCCAAATCACTTGAAGTCTCATCAAAACAATTTTCAGCCCGGTCGGACTTGAAATGGCGAAGAAAAAGGGGGAAAACTGGTTTTTGATACCCAAAAAACTAGTTTCGAGAAAAATCCAAAATAAAAAAAACTTGTAGAAGAATTTTTTTTCTGCTTATACGTAAGTATAGGTATACCATATCATAATATAACTTTATGTTAAAAAAAAACATTTTTTTTTAATGCATAGGTCTCCAAAAAACCTGTTTTTTTCAGAGACTTCCCGACCTTTGATGGTTCTGATTTTTATAGCACACATAGAGGGGACCTTGATACACCTTTACACGAAAAAAAAAGTTTTTGGCTCAGGAAAGCGGGGTCCCCTTAAGTGAAAAATTGAAAGTTAACTTTCTAATGATTTAAATAGAACTATATACATTCTCTAACGTATTTGTACGGAAATATGTGTTCAGTGCAATCCGCTTGCACAATTTTCCATAAACCCATATTGGACGAAATTTCGAGATATTATTCCTCCACCTATAACATAGATATAGCGTTCGCGCGAATTTTCCAAAGTTAACGAGAAAACATAACCAAGTGTTCGATCGCTTTTTTTGATTGAGACTTTACTCAGATGATTGACTATGGTGAGTAGTATCAAAACCTAAGATGGGTCGGTTATTTGAACCGAATCCTATGATCTCCTTCAGATCACCACGAAAATCGAATTTCCAGTTTTACTGATTTGTGCATATCTTACTTTAAGACATGAATGATCAAAACATTCGAATAAAAAAAAAAGCACTTGTTTTTCATACAATGATATTTCCAGATGTAAAGCACTAAAATCAATGAAACTTTCACAGTGAATTATTGTCATTGAGAGTTTTATTTAATGCAAAGTTTCAAGTCGCAAAAATATTTCTATTACATTATCCATATAGGTCATTGGGTAATGTTTCTGATACGAATGATAAATTAAAAAAAAACAGCGTTTATCACATATAAATTTATGTCTTTTAACTTGTTGAGTATGACATAAGAAATTTTAACAAGTTGCATAATAAAAACTTCATTTGAACATAAAGAATTGAATATTTTTTTTTTAATAGGTTACATCTGGTCCTACATTTCATTTACGTCTTAAAGCTATTGTAACAATGCCTGATTTAAATGTATCAAATGATACACTCGATTTTGGTACTGTTAAATGTGGTGAATGTAAAATTGCAACAATACAATTAAGAAATCCACAAGAAATTCGATGTGAATGGATTGCTGCATATCCAGGAGTAAGTTCAAAAAACAAAATATTAAATATTTCTTATAGTTCTATTATAATAATTTAAAGGAAGAATCAAATGGTAAACAAGTCGGCCGTTTTCTTCGTCGTGGAAATACTAGTGCTAATCGACGAAAACCATCAACACGTATTTTTGAAGTTTTACCACCATCTGGTTTACTTTTACCTGGTCAAAAAACAAATGTTCAAATTAAATTTACGCCTACTGAAGAAGTGATTTTCTTTTTCTTTTGAATATAATCTCTTATATGTATTATTTTTTTGTATTTAGACAAATTATGAATCACGTGTTTTATTACGTATTAATCAAAGTAGTCAACGTTTAATGATAATATGTCGTGGTTTAGGTCTTGAACCTCAAATTATAATTGGACAAATGCATGGTGATGTATTTGAACCAACAACATCGATTGTTTTTAATCCAATATTAACACATAGTCAAGGTGATGAACAAGATATTATTATACGTAATCCATGTGCATTTCCAATTGAAATTTATGATCTTGAATTTGATAAACAATATCTTGAAGAAGAAAAAGTAAATTTTTTTTTAATAATTATCTTTTTTCATATCAAAATTTTAACTTTGAAATTTTTAGATTCTTCGTCTTTTACCAGGTTATGATGAAAATAATAATATTCTTTTACCAACACGAGCTGCAGGAGATAAATTACCAGCTGAATTACAAAAGTTTTATGATGGTAAATATTATTTAACGATTTTCTAAATTTCTTTCGATATATATTCCATCTTGGTATAATTTAGATGTGGTTAAACGAGCAGAAGAAGAAAAACAAGGAGATATAACGAAAAGAACAGATGGTAAGAATTCTAACAAAACATCATAGATGGCACGCAAGCACTGGGAGTGATCGTCTGTGTCTTCTGATATATTTTTCAGTTTTTCTCAGTAGAAAACTCAGAAAAAAAAAAACATGAGCCGATATAATCTCTAATGGATTTCAAAAGACGTTTTATAACTTTAGTCGTCTCCCTTTTCCAAAATTCTACGTTCTGCCCGAAACAGGAATCCGCATGCTGAAAACATGAAGTTATTGGATAGTTCTATTCATCCTCATTGAACACATTTTAAGCATGTTCAATTAATTGTAATTAAACTAAAGTAGCCATGGCTTCTTTTTGAGCGAGCGTTGACGTATAGGGGTAAAATATTGAATTCGTTACTGACAGTGAAAGATATTGTTCATATACTTTTATATTTCATATTTTTAGAAACACCATTTCCTATAGATGGACTTGAATCAAATGGTGGTGAATTGACTTCCTTATCACAACAACCGACTGTTAGTGGTGAACGTACTGGTGATAGAGCAACATCAAATTCTATTGGTGAACCTACTGATTCGATTACTGATAAAAGTGAAACAACATTAAAACGTGTCGCAGAAAAAATTATTAATTATGATATGACACCTGTTGCACAAGCTTTAGCTCGTCATTTAGGCATTGATTTAACTTCAGATGGAATACAAGCACGTAATCGACGTGGTATTTCTGTGATAGTTCACGGTCCACCTGGTTCAGGTAAAGAAAAAAAAATTATGCAGACAAAAGAAAAGAACATTTTTCAATGATTTTACTTTATAGGAAAAACAATGATATCACGTGAAATTAGTCAACGTTATGATTGTGCATTACTAAATCTAGATCAAGTAATTATTGATGCTATTGATAGTTCACAACGAAGTGAATATGCTCAACGTGCTTATCTTATGTGTCGTGATGCACTCGAAAAACATGTTGAAGAACAACGAACAACAGAAGTTGATGCTGATCATGCTCCTACTACTCAACTAGGTATAATAATTAACATTTTCTTTTTTTTATTATTAAATTAAAAATAAAAAATCAAATCTGTTAATTTGTAAAAGAAACTCATATACTTTCTTATCGATAATAATAAGTAATGATAATAAACGTATTTCAATAATTAGTCTATATGATATCACCAACATTTTTAGGCTCTTAATCAACACTAAAGAAATATTATTCTTGTTGTTCTTTTTATTGTTTTTGAAATAAATTTTGTTTAATTTGATTTTCTTATTTTTAGGTGTACATACGAAAAAAGTTGCAGATAATAAAAAGAAAAAACCTTCTGAAGTAGTTGATCCAAATGCTCAACCAACAACTGTCGAAGCACAACCATTGACTTCACCTCCATCAGTTAAATTTAAAATACATAAAAATTCAACATCTCATCTAGATGGAGATTTATCGGAAACACGAAGAGAGACAGACGAAAATCCAGATGATACTGACGATCAAGAAGAACTTATGACATATGTTCTTACAGAAGATATTTTTGTTGAAATTCTTTCTGCAAGACTTCAAGTAAAGAAATGTTCCTACCAAATACTCAAGATTTTGAAATAGAATTATTAACTAATTTCAAAGAAAAGACTTGAGGTCATCAAGTTATATCGAAATTTGATTAGTCAAGAATATGACCGATAAGTTTCAAACAAAAAACGGATTCTAAAGCTATTTTTCTTTCAATTTAAACTTCTAATAGAATGAATCGATAAAACTATGAGCTTCAGCCAATTGACCTACGATTATAAAGAATAATCTTATAGCTCTCAAATAGTACAAGCTAGAAGTGTCAACTTTGTGCAAGTCGAAAGAGAAGAATTTTTTCTATCAACCAGTTTCGGAAATCTTCACAAAGAATTCATCTTATTGATCAACTACTAACAATGGAGGTGTTTGTATTGTCCATCGAAAAAAGTGGCACATGTTCGAGTCAAATAAAAGCTCTCAACGTCAAACTAACAAGGTTAAAATGTTAGCGGCCATTGG